ATTCTAGTATAATCTGTTATGTTGTTAAAGGCAGAGAGACTTTGTTAAAGAATTATGTATGCTTTCTGTAAGTACATCCATTAAGTGGTATTGAATTCAAGGCTTTAAGCAATAGATCATCCAACATATATATACAAGATCTAAGGTGCCTAATATCCTAGTTGAAGATATTTACAGTCCTAGGGTCCAGTGAAGAAATTTGCATTTCCAACTGCAATTCCAGGTGCCTCAGAAATGCCTCCCCAGGTACCAGGGAAATCTCGACAGGTCATGGCCCAGAAGATCCTACAACAGAGTCGCGAGGCAGAGAGTGCGTTAGCTGACGCACTGGTGAGTCTGCCACCAGGAGGAGGAGTCCTTGTGAGTACCTACCATGTGGTGCATGTGCATCTTAATATCACCATCCTCTGTAAACAATTTAGATACATAAAGACTACACTGCTATATCTCTATCACATGTGATATATATATTGTAAATGCTTACTATTAGCTTATTTCTACAGAAATGCTTCTCTATACTCTGTGGCAAATATAGCTTTGCTTTATAGTTGTAGAGCTGAAAATTTTAGAATCTGTCTATCAGTAAACTAAATTTTAAGGTTTTCATTGTTTTTGTTTTTTTCTCTTTTGGTCTCTTATCTTCCAAAACTTGTTGGTAGATGACTTTCATAAATATTGTACATAAACATTCTTAATGCTTCCTTCATTGTATGTACATGTATTGCTTAGTCCTCCTTTCATTTTAATAGACAGTCTATTCTCAGTCTTTCTTTCTTTCTTTCTTTCTTTCTTTCTTTCTCTCTTTCTTTCTTGCTTTCTTGCTTTCTTGCTTTCTCTCTCTCTCTCTCTCTCTCTCTCTCTCTCTCTCTCTCTCTCTCTCTCTCTCTCTCTCTCTCTCTCTCTCTCTCTCTCTCTCTCTCTCTCTCTCCTCCCTCCCTCCCTCCCTCCCTCCCTCCCTCCCTCCCTCCCTCCCTCCCTCCCTCCCTTTTTTTCTTTTTTCTCTTTCTTTTCCTTTTCCTTTCCTCTTTACCTCTTTACCTCTCTCAGCCTTGGATTTTCTATGATTTCTAAAAAATATTTATCTGCTCGGGGTCTTCTGACTATAGTATAGTATATGATACTATACTTCTTTGTGCCTTTCTGTGAACTATTTTCCCTATGTTGTACTCTTGTTGTGATCATAAGGAATAGCAATAGAAAGGAACTATGTGGGAAAGAAGGCTCTTTTCTGTTTAGCATTTTATTCTATATAATACAATATTTTCTTACTGTTGATGATTTGACTTTTGTGAGTTTCCTTTAATATACTTTTACTTTGTCTTGCTTGAATGGTATAAGGGCTTTCACTTTGGGAATGTATTGTCCATCATAAAATCAATGACATGATGAATTCCTTTGTTTTAAATGGTTTCTTGTTGAATATTTCCAAATTTTACTAATATGAGATAAAATATTTAACAAAAAATTCTTTCTTTGCTCCTTTAAGGTCACTGATGCTATTCTCTTTAATTTTGTCCATTTCTCATCTTACTTTTTCTTTTTTTTTTATTGTTATAGAAATATTTCAGGTGTAGTTTGTTCATGAACACTTTTTTTTCCCACTTTTTAATTTTTATTATTTTTTTTGTGGATTTATATGATAACTCTTCAGTGGATGAACAGAATTTGTATTTCTAGTGAATATTTGTGCAATGAGAATATAAGGAGTCCTGTACATTTATAATTTAATATTTCTGAAAGATTGAATGTTTATGTGTGCATATTTTTTGCATGTATGTTGGCGCAAAAGGGAGACCTTACAATTAGTTTGTCCTTGTGTTTGACTTTTTCAAGGCAGATATAATCAAATCGGTAGATATCAGAAAAATCAAGGGAGATATAATCAAATTAGTAAATATCAGAAAAATATGTGAAATTCAGGTCATAATTTTTTTGGCAAATGTTTGATATGGCAAGATTATAATCAGTTGCAGGTTTCTGGATATTCTGACAGAATGGGAGAACATAAAACAACAGTAAGAAAAGAGATGATGCCTTTGTTGTAGAGGGATATTTTTAGAATTAGAAATTTGCTACTTTTTCATTTTAAATTAGTGATGGAATGAAAGAAACTTGAGACTTGTTGAGTATTTGAGTTTTGCATCAAACAATGCAATTGGGATGTAATGTTTAGCAGTGTGTGAGTGTCTTTCAATATATTTGGAAGTGCAGTATGAAGAAATGGATGAAGCTTTTCTTATATTTCATAATGTATCGATTATCTGTCTAGTTGATTATGGTACAAGTCTGTCTACATATCTCAACCCTTCACATGTCAGCAATTAGGATGTGAACTCTCATTTAAACAGCGCGAAAGATCAAACTACCCTGGTAGGGTTGATCGATGTGAAAGAGCTGGAGGAGAGTTCCAGGCTTACCGTCAACCTGTAAGTTATTAAAAAGATGAGACAAAATTAAACTGTAGATGAGATTTCCTTGTAAGATGAGCCTTATTTCTTTTTAAATACCTTTTTGTATTTGCCTGTGTTTCCACATTACCACTGAATGTTCAATTCACTTAGTGTAATGTTTACAAATACATGAATAAAGGTATCACCTTATTATAGCACCTCTATTTTGTTGTGTGTGATATATGTCACTGTAGATACCTGTTTGTTTGTTTTTTATTTATATTCACTAGAGTCAGTTTACTTGAGTATTAGTTGAATGTATGTTTAGTGTGAGTGAAGGCTTGAGAGGATGTAAGCATGGAAGCTAAGTAATTCCTTGCACAGAAAAGAAGTTATTTCTAGTATTATTTAAAAGGTTTAGTGTTTTGTATGTGGATTTTAAACATTAGTATCATAAAGATGAAAAGTAAATTTGGTTTTCATATCATGCAACTTTTATTTATTTCAGTGCTCTGCTTTTGGCTTAGCTAAATAACTTTTTATTAGATTCAAATGAAGCAGATGTAGAGACACTTTTATTATTAGCTATAAATTGCTATAATATATGCAGTATAAAGCTGTTTACAAGGTTTAGATTAATAACTAAGGTACACTAGATTTTTTTTTGATGTTGCTTACTAGTCAGCTTTTTAGGGGCACACAGTTAACTGTTGGTCATGTCAGACCATCACTGTAACACTCACTCACTGCTTCTTTTCACTCTGGTTGGTTGCACATGCACTAGTTGGCTGGGTACTGCTGCAAGCTAGGAAGGAAGGGATTTTGTTTACAGAGCTTTTTAGATCCCCTTTTTGTTTTTTTTCACATTTCTCTCTGTGTAATTGTAGAAAGCTTTTTGTATTACTACACTCATTGTAAACTGTCTGTAGAATATTTTTGCCCTTCCTTTTTTTTGTTTTCTTCTCTGTGGCTAGATTAAACCCTTCCTTCCTTTTTCCTCTTTTGTGTTTATGGTGATACTGTCATAATGAATTGCTCTGTAGATGAGGTAGTGAAATACATCTATGTATATATTTATATTTTTTTGTTTATTGTTATTATTGTTGTTACTAGTAATGATGTTTTATTGTCACCTTTATAAGGAAGTTCATTATTATTTGAATTTCCTCACTAATATTTGCAGTACATTTTTTTTTTCTCTCTGTTTTTCTTGCAGAAACAAAATCTAAAAAATTGTGGATAAAATACATTACATTGATAAAGAATCCATGCTAATGGGCATTGCTTCTTACTAACTTCTAAGTTGTTGATTTTTATGATAATTATTTCCCATTGCTTGCCTAGTAACCAAATCTCCGCACACAGCGTTCTCCAAACAGAAAGATGTACAGTAAAGCCTTTGAGGACCAATCTGACAACGATAGCGAGACCTCCAGTATTTGCTCTGAACGTTCCTTTGACTCCTGTAGGAGAAGTGATGTAAGTTGGTCTGCCAATTTTGGAGTCTCAAGAACCTGAGGGCAGGCAGGAGAACAGCATTATGGACAGTGCGCGTGAATACTGAGCAAGCTTATGGCAGTCTTATAGTGTGCAGTCTTAATATAGCAACTGCAGACTTAGTTATGGGGGATAGTTATGCTTAAAAGCTAAACATGCATTGTTTTTATGGTAAATTACAAGGCTTTAAACTTAAACGTGAATGCTAATAAATTATGCATTCCTTGCAATGAGTTCTCCTGCTCCAACTAAGTTATTGAAGACTCCATCCCATTTTGAATGAGAAAAGTTAGTGTCTTGTGATGTGTTGCTTATAATGATTATTACATGATGTCCAAAAAAGATTAAAAGACATGGTAATACTAAGACATTATGCAGTACATAGATAGCTAATTAAGAGTAAATAAACCAAAGAGTGAGCAGACATGGCAACTTTATTAAAGCTCATCTTTTTAGGACATTGGCCAATATAAGATTTATTGAGAGGGCTGATTTTAAGCCAGTATTTTATATTTTTTGAAGAAATTTAAAATGCTTGTTTTCCTTTTGCATTTACATATCTAAATGTTGCCTTCTGTGTCATGATTTTATAGTTGTAATTGTGTGTTGTTTATGTGAAATTCTGCATTACGTCATGAGAGATGGCTTTTCAAAGACTAATACTTTTTAGAATGCTAGATTCAAGGAAGACATTTTATCTGCATGAATTATGGTAGCTATGTAAGATACAGTACTACTACAGTGCCATGGTATTATCCCATACCATGGTAGTCCCCCCTCCCTTTCTCTCTCCATATTAGACAGCTATACCATGATGTACTAGCTTGGGGCAATAAATGTACATGAACCCCCATATCCCCTCCCTCCTATCAGTTATGTTGGCAATGAGGCTGTTCAATGCATGAATGTTCATCGTAGTGTATTATTATTTTGTAATGTAGTTCATTCTCCTTTTTGCATTGAGGCCCATCACTATACCAATGGGAAATTCTGCCAAAGGTTATACAGACATCTGTTGATAGCCTGGTTGCCACATTTGATTCTGTTGCAGATGGTGTTTTGCGTTTGATTTTTTTTTTTGTATGTAGCTTATCAATGGTTCTCTTCTTGCCGTACCCTAGCAATTCTGGTACGGATCACAACAACGTATTCTCAAGGAAGTGTGGGAGCCAACAGTGAAGGTGAGATAATTTCATTAAGTAGATTTCCTCATTCTAGCTTCCTCCTCCCCCTGTCTATAGTTTCGATAAATGTGTTACTTCTAGACAACAGGCCAGGTCGTTCCTTTTTTTTATTATTATTATTTCTTATTCTTTTTCTTTTTACTGATGTATGATTTCCTCCTTACATAAGGCTTTGAGTTCCATGCCTGTTGTCTGGAAGTAATACAGTGCCATATGTGTTAGTCTGTCCATTTATTTTTATATTTTATTTGAAATGTTGATGGAGTGGCTAATTATTATAGTTTTATTCACTTGTATCCTTTCATTTATTTATTTTTCACTCAGCCCTAGTAAATGGACACTGAACAAGGAGTCCCCTCACATAATCATTTCCCTATAGACATTACATACTGAGCTGTAGGTATATGATATAAAAAAAGAAGAATGTAGCTGAAATGGTCTCAGGTTTATTTGAATCCTAGATTAACTACTCTTAGACTTTTAGAATTTGTCAACGTTTTTGTTTTGTGTATTTTATAATTGTGTTAATTTTGTTAAAACCTTTAACTCTCTCAGTGACTCACCTGTGTCCTGCTTATTCACCTAATTTAGTGTTTTATAAATCTCAGTCGGTTTAAATATGTAATTTCCTAATAAGCTTGCAGTACTAAAAGAATTAATGCTGCATGATTATTCCTATCTTATAAGGATGCCTCCTTTGTCAGTGGCATCAGAAATAAAGCTATTTTTGCATTTTGTTTTTCCACTTGTTTTTTGTATGTTTCATGTTCTTTTGTCTCATATATATTTTGTCTAATGTTTATGGAGGTTAAATATTGAATAGCAAACACTTTTCATTGTAGTTTTGTTTGATCACATTTCAGAATTGGCATGTAAGCCAACTATATGCTTCAGCATCAGTAGATATGTCTTGATGAAAGATTAGAGATTCTGTTTGTTATTAATTTACATTTCCTTTTTAAGATCTTATTTTTTGTTGTTGAAGGGAAAAAGTATTCTTAGAGTATCATCATAGAAGTATTGCTTAAAATATATCTGTGTGCTTTGCAAATGAAGGTAAGTATGTTATATTGAGAATTTAAGTGATGTGTATTGTATACTTTGACATGAAGCTGCAAATGATTTTTTTTTTTGTATGTAGCTTATCAATGGTTCTCTTCTTGCCGTACCCTAGCAATTCTGGTACGGATCACAACAACGTATTCTCAAGGAAGTGTGGGAGCCAACAGTGAAGGTGAGATAATTTCATTAAGTAGATTTCCTCATTCTAGCTTCCTCCTCCCCCTGTCTATAGTTTCGATAAATGTGTTACTTCTAGACAACAGGCCAGGTCGTTCCTTTTTTTTATTATTATTATTTCTTATTCTTTTTCTTTTTACTGATGTATGATTTCCTCCTTACATAAGGCTTTGAGTTCCATGCCTGTTGTCTGGAAGTAATACAGTGCCATATGTGTTAGTCTGTCCATTTATTTTTATATTTTATTTGAAATGTTGATGGAGTGGCTAATTATTATAGTTTTATTCACTTGTATCCTTTCATTTATTTATTTTTCACTCAGCCCTAGTAAATGGACACTGAACAAGGAGTCCCCTCACATAATCATTTCCCTATAGACATTACATGCTGAGCTGTAGGTATATGATATAAAAAAAGAAGAATGTAGCTGAAATGGTCTCAGGTTTATTTGAATCCTAGATTAACTACTCTTAGACTTTTAGAATTTGTCAACGTTTTTGTTTTGTGTATTTTATAATTGTGTTAATTTTGTTAAAACCTTTAACTCTCTCAGTGACTCACCTGTGTCCTGCTTATTCACCTAATTTAGTGTTTTAAAAATCTCAGTCGGTTTAAATATGTAATTTCCTAATAAGCTTGCAGTACTAAAAGAATTAATGCTGCATGATTATTCCTATCTTATAAGGATGCCTCCTTTGTCAGTGGCATCAGAAATAAAGCTATTTTTGCATTTTGTTTTTCCACTTGTTTTTTGTATGTTTCATGTTCTTTTGTCTCATATATATTTTGTCTAATGTTTATGGAGGTTAAATATTGAATAGCAAACACTTTTCATTGTAGTTTTGTTTGATCACATTTCAGAATTGGCATGTAAGCCAACTATATGCTTCAGCATCAGTAGATATGTCTTGATGAAAGATTAGAGATTCTGTTTGTTATTAATTTACATTTCCTTTTTAAGATCTTATTTTTTGTTGTTGAAGGGAAAAAGTATTCTTAGAGTATCATCATAGAAGTATTGCTTAAAATATATCTGTGTGCTTTGCAAATGAAGGTAAGTATGTTATATTGAGAATTTAAGTGATGTGTATTGTATACTCTGACATGAAGCTGCAAATGATATTTTTTTTTCTCACTTGTCTATCTCTTATCTCTGGTCTCTCTCAAAAGCAGTTTTCCTGAACTTATGAACATTTTATTCATTCCACATCTCTGTGGTTTCCAGATGCAGGACGTGAGTGACATCATCCTGAACTGCGCGTCAACACACTGGGGTGACCGAAAAGAAGGCTTGATGGCCCTTCAGGCATTCCTTCGTGGCTCTCACATGCTCACTGGATCTGAGCTGAAGAGAGTTACCGAGATCTTTACCAAAATGTTCATGGATGCTCACACGAAGGTGTTCACACTCTTCCTCGACACTTTGATGGAGCTGATCATGGTACACAAAGCTGACCTGGGCGATTGGCTTTATATTCTACTTACAAGGTTGCTTAACAAATTGGGATCAGATCTGCTGGGATCTGTGCAGACCAAGATCCACAAAACCTTAGATTTAGTCAGGTAAGTAGATGTTTTTTTTTCTCTCTCTCTCTCTCTCTCTCTCTTTTCCTATCTCTTGATTTGCTCTATTTTTCTTGTTACTTTTTCCTCCTCCTCCTCCTTGTCTTTGTACTTTGATGATAAAATTATTTTGTTTCATGAAAACAGAGGCTTTGGTTTTAATTGTAATGCATGCTTCCTTTTCTTTACAGAGACTCATTCCCATGTGATCAACAATTCATTGTTCTAATGAGATTTCTAGTGGACCAAGCTCAAACTCCAAACTCCAAGGTGAAGGTGGCAACACTGACGTACCTCAAGTGTCTAGTGGATGTGATGGACCGTGGTGACCTCACAGCATCCCCCGATACCCCAATGGCACTGGCTAAGATCCTTACCTGGACTGCTGACCAGAAGTCCTTGGACATCCGGCGGGCAGCTTCAGCGTGCTTCATTGCAATGTTCAACTGCAACATCACTGAGTTCACAGCACTTTTGCAGCAGCTGCCTTCTGCCTGCCAAAGCACAGCATCGCAGATCATCCAGAGCCACCTGAAGAGAGCGGCCAGTTTGGATGCCTCGCCCTCTTCCCTGCCCACCCGCACACCTCCCAGTGCTGGCGGGACTCCCGTGCTTCAGAGCCCCAATACCTCACTCCCGCGCTCGCACCGGTCATCGCGACACAATACCATTGATTTTGATGATACGGAAAATCTTAATCCAGAAGAAGTCTATAGGTATGTTGGTTTGGCAGTGATTTAAAATTGTTTTACTAGTATATTAGTTATTTGACTATTTTGTGGTTGTATTAGTATATATATCTTTTTTTATGACTTAATTTTTAAAAAGTACTTTTCTACATTTTAGGAGTTTGAAACGCACAACAGCAGAGATCCAGAACTATAGCTTCGACCTGGATTTAAGTAGTCGCAGAGATAGTTTAGAAAAACATAGAGATTCTACGTCACAGGTGAGAATACCAGATCTTTGCTGATTCAAGGAAAAAATAATAATTTGAAGGATTCCTTTGTGTATCTTTTAAATTTAAAAAAATGCATATACTCCTAACATTTTTGTTTTCATACTTATTGATATATGTGTCATTTACATACTATTGATGTAATGAAACTTTTGCATTACTATAAATGCAACAGTTTTCTTAATAAAAGCATATCTCTTATTGAGCTATACTTGATATTTTGATATGATAGAGTTTGAAATATTGTCTCCTGAAAATAAGAAAATCAAGCTTCTTTCCTTTAAGTGCAGAAAGCATTTTTTGAGAGAATAGAACCAACAGAAACTAGGTATTCCTCCCACAGGACTCTGGGATTAGTCAATTATCAGCTGGTGGAGGCGACCTTCGCACCATAGACACCGTAGATGACAAAGGTGTGGAGGACACCAATGGCATCCTCTCGGGGAGATCCTCAAGTGTCTCTTCGCCCACACATCGCAACCTCTCCATGATGTCCGACTCTTCAAGAAACGGACTTGACACCCTCACAGACGATGATCTCGGTAGAGGTATTTTTTGATTTGGCTTCTCCTGTTTGGTTCGGGGTCAGTAAGCCTAAGTTGCCTGCATGCTACCTCTTGTGCATTGGATGCAACTGTGCAATGTGCAGAAGTTGAGTTGTGATTATTTTCCTTTTGAGTCATCAGTGTTCTTTTATTATTTATTTATATATATTTTTTTTTATGATAAATATTTAAACCATATATTTTCTTTATGGAAAGAGATTATTCTTGAAGCAACCCTGTGTTTTTATTTATATTCTTTTTATTTGTATAGTTACATTTTTCTTTTGATATGCATGAATGATTACTTAAATTTTATAATTAATTATGTTTTAGGGGCATTTTGTAGTTTCTTGTGTTACAGAATTCTGTGTTTGTTTTACTCAGTAGTAATCCTCTGTGATGAAGCTGTTCAAATTATTCACTAAAGACTAACGACTGATGAAGATTGATTAGCTGTATGATGATTTAACCCATTGATGCAGGAACATGTGCCGTCCAATTTGGTGGATATAGTTACCAAGGGGTCAATTAATAGGCCTACTTACCCTCCCCTCTTTACTTCAAATCCTTGAATTTTTGTGGATTTTCTTTCTTTCCTTTTTTCTCTCTTTCTTGATGTTACTATTACCCTTATCATGTTGCTATTGAGGATAATAGTGATATTGTAGTTACTGTAATGTAATGATAGTTTTAAAGGTAAAAGCTTCTTCCTGGAAATAGGATGATGTCAGGCAGGCTTAGTAATTGATTCCTCGGTGACTAAGGGTGTGTGGGAGCCATCTTTGTGTAAAAGAAAATTATAAAATGAAACCAAAATGGACAGGGTATGTGTGTATATGGAATCCCAGCATCAGTGGGTCAAAGTGAATTGAAAATAATGCTTTTTGTCACAATTCCAGGAGATGGACAGGAGAGTGATGCGGAGATAATGTCTGGCGTAGTGGCAGAGCTAGGTAACACAGAGGAGGGACGCACAGCAGAAAAGCGTGCTGCGTTGACATCTCTAATACGACTGGCGCGTACAGGCTCCACTCTAGTCTGGAATGAGAATTTCCGTGCTGTGCTGAGGTTGTTGTTAGAGAGTCTTGCGTGTGACGATGGAGGTCAGCGTGCCCTGGTGCTAGCCGTTCTGACAGAGATGATGAGGAGAAGTCCCCTTGTGCATCACTTCCTTAGTTTTTCGGAGCTTATCATCCTTAGGGTCCTCAATGCACATGCTGACAAAGAAAAGGAAGTCCTTCGAGCAGCAAGTGTAAGTATTCTTTAGCAGAGGGAGAGAGAATGAATATGGATATATTGGGACTGTATCGAAGGTAATATATCTTAGTTGGATTTCTGTGCTGAGGATAAAGACTACAACCTATGGTAACATGTCCAAAGTCTAATGCTATGTCTTCTTATCTTCAGGTTTGTGCAGGAACTGTAGCAGAAATCCTTCCTCCTGAGGTCGTGATTCGGGTGTTGAAGCCTCTTATTCAGATGGGAGAGTATCCAGTGAATCAAGCGGCCATCAAAATGCTCAATAAACTGGTTGAAGCCCACCAACCATCCATTGTTGCTGCAGCATTGCCTGAAATCATGCCTGGACTCATTAAGGTCTGTAAAGTATAACAGTGTTATTGTTGTTTTGTTAATTTGATTTTTTTAAGAGGCCATATTTTTGTAATAAGATATTTGATTAGTATTGTAGATTATAGTACTGTAGCATTGAAATTCCAAAAGTGATGACTAGTTGGAGTTGCACAATTTGTGATTTAGGTTTGTCAGATAAGCTGAGCCCAAGGGAGAAGGAATTGACTTGTTTCATATTACTATTACAAGTATGAGACTTTCTCATGACTAGATGATTTCCAGCCTACTGCACCAGCTTTAAACTCACAAAATTCCTGCATCATCCCTGATTAATATTACAGGTATTATACACAGTGGATGATTAAATAAGACTGAGCAAAGCTTAATGATAATAAGATGCTTTTAATCGTATACACAAATGCATGAGGATAGACACATATGACACAGCTAACCATTACAGATGGTTTTAAAGAAACAAGTTGTTATTGGGAATAACAGTAAATCAGAAAGCTTAAAGAAAAGATTTTGAACAAATTTGAGAACTTGTGGAAGATCATCAGCAAAAATCTTATATTTTTCTGCTCAGTATTCAGTAAACAATGGGCAGATATTCTGGTTCAGTTCGTGGGAGATGGTGACATCATCAGAATAATGAAATGAACATAAAGAGGCTTTACTATGCATGCCTTTGTTTATAAAAAAAACAAACAAACAAAAAAACAAAGAAAGAAAACAGCCATGACCAGCTTTGATATCTTGCCATTGTGCAAAAAGTAAAATGCTAATTTGATCATTGACTATAATTATATTTTACATATTGTGGATTCTCTTAACACCGCTCTTTCTTTTTTCAGTTAAAAAAGAAATTGGTTAACTTACTTTCCAACTTGTTTTCATGTTGCTCCATACTGTAAATAGGAATGTGATTGGAGTATTTTTGGTGTTATCATTATATAGCACATGATAGTTGATGTTTTTTTTCCAGAAGAAAGAAAAAAATGTGTTATTTAATTTTGGTAGCTTAGACAGTGGAGTGTGATTTACCCTCTCAAGTGGAAGGATTTTGCTCCCAGTTCCTCATTCTTTTTTCTAGTTATGAAGACAAACACCATGTAAAAAGGTCATTTGTTTACTGACTTAAAAGTGTACACTGGAATTTTTAACGTACACTCAATAGCATCATTTACATTCTGTCTTTCTTTTCATCTTTGCCTCTTCAGCTGGTAAGCATGACTTATTTGATTCTGATGACTGTTATGAGTGTCAATCAGGATGAATCTGATAGGACTTCCATAACTTTCATGTTTTACGATGAGTTCAGTTGTTCTTTTTGTTTTTTGTTTTTGTTTTTCTTAAGATATGTGCATGACAGTAGGTGCCTAATTTCACATGGCTGGAAGAATAAGAACAAAGCGTGTCTCAGATTATACTCTCCAGGAGCAAACAGCTGCCCCCCACCCCCACCAAGCTTTGGTTCACAAGTCACTGTTAGAACACTGCAGATCACCTTCTTTGGTTCCCCCTCACACCCCATCACTGAAGCTGATGTAGCATTTTCAATTTATATAATACATCCACAGGCATCAGAGCCTCCAGGATGAAATTGACCTATTTGATTTTGTTGTCCGTCCCTCCTTCCCTCCAAAAATGAGGGTTGGACTTCCAGTTGGGAAAAAAAAGACGAGAATGTGTTTTAAAATAAGCAGGGATTGCTTTTAAATTCTTTCCAGTGTGATTAATAGACACAGTTCTCCTTTTGGTAAAGTCTGAGTAGTTTTTAATAGTTGATTTATACTGCAAGCTACATTCCATCTTCATCATGATATTATGCTGATAATGGGCAATAAATAGATTCAGAATCTGTAATAATTGTAGGTTTCTTAAATATTGTTATGATGAGTATTTAGTCATATGTTTAAATGTGCATTATGTGTAGCAACTGCTGCCTTTCTTAGCACATGCAGTTTGAAAAAGTTTATACTTTATTTTGCTTTTTGAGTCTTGCTTACCTTTTATAGTAGTTGGCTATATATGTTTGATTTTAGTTGTTTTTTTTAATCATCTGGAAAGGATTGATGTCTTCAGGCTTTAACACTGACTTTCCTAGTTAAAAGAAAAGAAAAGAAAAAGTTGTAGTTGCCAGATATTTTGATCTGCTCCAGATACAGGGTGGGTGATTTGACTAACAAAACAAGACAGTGAGACATGCTACAGTTTCAGCAACTTATGATGCTTTATCTTTATAGTATGTTCTCATTGTTTACATGTAACTAAAGAAACTCCACATTACTGTTAATGTTGAAGAAGCTTCATAAAACAACAAAATCTGATTTTTTTCCATTTTAGTTAGAAATATAGGAGATCCAGCCATAGAATTTTTAATTATTATTAAAGGGGCACTCAAAATGGAGCATATATATATATATCTTTGTCAACCAAGCAGAAACATAGACAAATTAAATTGTTATAAAATGCTTTCATTATTTTTATTTGAAGATTAGTAAGACACTATGCATTTACTTTGTCCCCAGTCCCACAAAGAAATTAGCAGTTGCGTTAGTTGTATTTACTGGTGTTACCACAAGTTATATTTCCTTATTGGATGGAACATTCGCAAGAAGATAAATTTGTAAGACTTTCAGTGCAAATGTAGTTTTATTGTTAGTAATGCTACTTTGTGGTTTATGTAATAAAAGTATGTTTTGGTTAAACTATGACACTTGTGTTATATGCACATCAACATAGTAGCAGAAATCACAGTAATCTTGTAATCCACATTGCCTCATGCCAGTAAAATCTTGTTATGTCTTAACGTATTGAAAGTAGTTTTAGTGGGCAATTAGATCACTAAAATGTTCATGGAAAGTATAATCGTGCTGAGACAGGTTCTACAGCCTGATTTCTATTTATTTAAAGATACTGAGAGGCTGACAGTATTTACTTTCTGTAATGATGAATGACGATGATATTTTCTCTTTATGTTCTCGTTTCTTTATGTAATGTTCCATAGGTCTGTTTGAAATTATTTGTCTTTGTTAAATTTTGAAGCTGGAATTTTATTATAAAATGGCCAGTTACTGAAAGATATTTGAAATGTATTTTTTTGATGCAGTCATATGCTACCAGATGCCTCTTAACTAACATGAAACTCTGCCACAAAGCAAAAACGGAATTTTGCACTGAATTACAGATGCAGTCATATTCTATTGTGTGTAACACTGATAAACCGACTTCTGTATAGTGCTGAGTGTGTTCCCAAGTACCCCCTTCTGACTCCTGTCTGTGTTGATAATGAGGCAGGCAAATTTTTGAGAGATGTGCATAACTTTGACAAAAGGATGTTATGAGCAGCTATAAAAAATTGCAGTATAGTGTTTACATGTCACATACTGTTATGGGAGAAGAACAAGCCAAATGTGTAAAGCATGATTTCCAAAAATAGGGAATTACATTACATGCATCAGCTTAAGCACAGTTGCTTAGACTGAGGTTGTACTACCACAAAAGGCTTTTTGAATACTCTTGAATGCTTTTTTCCTAGCTTTTATTGATATTGTAGCTGAGCTTCTATAGAATTAAATCTTCTGACCTGCTTGCATTATAAGTGAATATTAAATGAGTTGACTTATATTTGATATAGAAACAAATGAGATAGCAGTGAGTTTTGAAAGAAATATGTCAGATATATCAGATACATCTATTCATGATTCAAGAAATGTGGTTATATTGTTTTGTACAATTTCCCTGATAGTTTTGCAAATTATGTTTCTGTGTGATGTTGATGTTTTGTGTTATCAGTCATTGAAACAAGAATCTGTGGTAGTAAAATCAGATGTGAAAAAAAATTATTTGAACTGAATTGGCTGTTATGATGACAAAACAGTTCACATATTTTGAAAATGATCTGAGGATTATTATGATGCACATTTTCTTTCAGTGAGAACATGAAAAATTATCATATGGAGAGACAAGTTATCTTAAATTGATCATTGGGATTAATTAGAAGTGTGGCTATCATGTACTCCTCTACATATAGACAAAATGAAGGCATTGCTATAATCCTATCAATTCTTTTATTTACAGGCATATGACAACAAGGAATCCTGTGTACGCAAGGCTTCTGTGTTCTGCATGGTAGCATTGCATAATGCTGTGGGAGAGGATGCAATGCGACCACACTTAGAGAGTCTTACAGGATCCAAGTTGAAGCTCCTCAACCTGTACATCAAGCGTGCTGAGACCCAGAATTCGGGGGCATCGTCTCCAAAGTCTGAACCACCACCTTAATGATAATACTATATGTGGAGGTGAAAATGGCGGGTGTTTTGGGGATAGGGTAGGGGTTAGGGGGTGTGGCAGAAAGATTAATTTTATTGAACCTTTGATTGGCTCAAAAAAAGCAAACAAGAAAAGATTTTGTAATTAGACGTTTTGAAAATAACAGAAAGAATAATAAAAAAGCTCTGTAAAATATAAATGCATATTGAAATGTATTTTTTGATGCAGTCATATGCTACCAGATGCCTCTTAACTAACATGAAACTCTGCCACAAAGCAAAAACGGAATTTTGCACTGAATTACAGATGCAGTCATATTCTATTGTGTGTAACACTGATAAACCGACTTCTGTATGTGCTGAGTGTGTTCCCAAGTACCCCCTTCTGACTTCTGTCTGTGTTGATAATGAGGCAGGCAAATTTTTGAAAGATGTGCATAACTTTGACAAAAGGATGTTATGAGCAGCTATAAAAAATTGCAGTATAGTGTTTACATGTCACATACTGTTATGGGAGAAGAACAAGCCAAATGTGTAAAGCATGATTTCCAAAAATAGGGAATTACATTACATGCATCAGCTTAAGCACAGTTGCTTAGACTGAGGTTGTACTACCACAAAAGGCTTTTTGAATACTCTTGAATGCTTTTTTCCTAGCTTTTATTGATATTGTAGCTGAGCTTCTATAGAATTAAATCTTCTGACCTGCTTGCATTATAAGTAAATATTAAATGAGTTGACTTATATTTGATATAGAAACAAATGAGATAGCAGTGAGCTTTGAAAGAAATATGTCAGATATATCAGATACATCTATTCATGATTCAAGAAATGTGGTTATATTGTTTTGTACAATTTCCCTGATAGTTTTGCAAATTATGTTTCTGTGTGATGTTGATGTTTTGTGTTATCAGTCATTGAAACAAGAATCTGTGGTAGTAAAATCAGATGTGAAAAAAAATTATTTGAACTGAATTGGCTGTTATGATGACAAAACAGTTCACATATTTTGAAAATGATCTGAGGATTATTATGATGCACATTTTCTTTCAGTGAGAACATGAAAAATTATCATATGGAGAGACAAGTTATCTTAAATTGATCATTGGGATTAATTAGAAGTGTGGCTATCATGTACTCCTCTACATATAGACAAAATGAAGGCATTGCTATAATCCTATCAATTCTTTTATTTACAGGCATATGACAACAAGGAATCCTGTGTACGCAAGGCTTCTGTGTTCTGCATGGTAGCATTGCATAATGCTGTGGGAGAGGATGCAATGCGACCACACTTAGAGAGTCTTACAGGATCCAAGTTGAAGCTCCTCAACCTGTACATCAAGCGTGCTGAGACCCAGAATTCGGGGGCATCGTCTCCAAAGTCTGAACCACCACCTTAATGATAATACTATATGTGGAGGTGAAAATGGCGGGTGTTTTGGGGATAGGGTAGGGGTTAGGGGGTGTGGCAGAAAGATTAATTTTATTGAACCTTTGATTGGCTCAAAAAAAGCAAACAAGAAAAGATTTTGTAATTAGACGTTTTGAAAATAACAGAAAGAATAATAAAAAAGCTCTGTAAAATATAAATGACTCAGATTTTACTAATTGATATTAGAATAGGAAATATAGTTGGCCAACAGTTGCTAATTTTATGAATACTGTTGTATCTAGATGTACACAATATTTCTTTAAGAATTATGGAAATAGAATCTGCCCATGACAGTTTTGGCACAAAATTATAGAAAATATGTCCTTGGAAGGTGAAGTGCTTATAAAAATAATAGACAAGGACAAGGCTATTGTGTGTAAAATTATGAATTTATGAATGAGTGCGTTGGTTGAGAGAACGTGACTCAAGGTTGGATTGACTCCTCAACATTGTGGTGCCAGGTGGTTCTACCATAGTTTTACCAGTAGTTTTTACTGACATATTTGCTTACTTGGCAATCTTTGTGTGATAGATTACTTTGTGATTATTGATAACATAGATATGGCTTATCCTGGCAAAGTGAAATATTATAAACCAATTGTAGGATGTTAAGGAGCAGCAAATGTGCCATTAGGGGTGCAGTTCATGTTAACTAAAGGAGTTTACACTTGTTTCTTGCTGCCTACCTTCAGTTTCTCCTGCATGGTCTACTCTCTTCTCTTGGAAAAGAAATGTGAAGTTAAATATTAATTCCCAATAAAGATGATATGATTATTAACAATAGTATAACTCATATTATTAGGGGCTGGGAGCTAGTCAATTGTGCTTGGAGGTGACACCATGATAGTCTTATATGCCTTTGTTTGTAACCCCTTTAGCTGACATAATGATACTAATGTGATTGGTTTTCACTGGTCTCTTGTAACTATACAGTTGCTCTACATCTTATTCAATTGTTGACTTGGGTCTGAATGTAACTGACTGCAATGCCTCTGACTCTGATGATCATCTGGTGTGGTATGACCATAATGGTCATTTGAGACAAGTGTAGATGGATGTGTGGGGCCCACCATTCCAGAAGATTCCCATGCGCCTGATGGCTTTGTGTGAATGCAGACTTGGAATGTAAGATAGTGCTGTGTTTGTAATATAGTTGATGTACATAAATGCTCTTTTTTTCTCAGTGGTCATGGATACTAAAGTTCTTTTTATTAATACAACCAGGTAATTTTTATATGCATCAGATAAGTTACTTAACCCCACCACCTTCATTAATTCAATGGGTTTTTAGCATGATTGTGTTGATAGACCAACTTGTTAAGGATCACTTGATATTCTCAAAATGAGCTCTTAACAAAGACTGAGCTTATCACAATTTATGAGATCATCAGCAAGTTTGAGCTTCAGGATATATATATATATATATATATATATATATATATATATATATATATATATATATATATATATATATATATATATATATATATATATATATGTACACACACACACACACACACACACACACATATACATACACACACACATACATACACACACACACACACACACACATACATACATGCATACATATATACATATATATATGTATGTATGTATGTATGCATGTATGTATACATATATGTATACATATATCTATGTATGTATGTAAGTGTGTATGTATATATATATATATATATATATATATATATATATATATATATATGTATATATATATATATATATGAATATGCATATGTATTTGTATGTATATATGTGCATATATATATGTATATATACATATGTGTATATGTATATATACATACATACATACATACATACATACATACATACATACATACATACATACATACATACATACATACATACACACATACATACATACACACATACATACATACACACATACACACATACACACATACACACATACACACACACACACACACACATATATATATATAAAATAAGACACAAGTACATACATGCATATATACCTATACAGTCATGCATACATATACATATACCTATACATATACATATACCTATACCTATACACATACATATACATATACATATATATATACTTACACAATATACATACAATATATACTTACCTTTGTATAATGACAAAATGTATGTATGTATAAACATACATATACACATACACATTTGAAAGGCACAAGTTCTCTCTTTTTCAACACAGAATTTGAGCTTAACAAAGTATTACCCAAAAGCTCAAAGTAACTGATTATATCCTACCATGTTAATAGCCTTCAGTGTGCATAGTCAACAAGCTTAGCAACACTACTGTTCTTTTATGGTATGATAATCAAATGTAAGAAGTTTTCAAAATGCTGCTGATAAAGGATGTATAATAGATAAGGGTGAAACAGTTGTAATACAGTTTAACCATATACTGATATGTATTAAAGTCTAATACATTTTTAATTATTTCACTTCTTTTTTATTACCATGCTTCCTGATGCTTTACTTTTCTCTTGATCCTAGAATTCCTGTCAAAAATTGAATCTATGGATCATGGTTTGAGTCCTACAAGTTTGACCTCATTGACTGCATGGCCATATAAGCAGGTGCTCAGACAAGGCAATTAAGGAATTTGTGATTAGAATGCACTTGCCATATATCATTGCTTTCAACTAAATTGTTAATTTTTTTCTGGATTTATTGTTGCCGTGGAAAACCATCATGACACGAGTGGATCCAAATTATGGTTAAGCTCATAAATACTAAAATATTTGAGGACCCAGTGACTGTTGCAATGACTTGCTTGTGCCGACTGTTGGGGCAGCTGGGCGGGATCTTCCACCACTACATGTCTTTGACAGGAGCAGCTATTTTGAGTCTTTGAGGCTTATTCAGGCTTTAATCTGTGTTGCAAATATTGTGGACTCGGAAAAAAAAAATCGGTAGTGATCTTTGTTCGACATCAGAGCCTATGAATCAATTTGTAAATGTATAGAGCTTTAAGTGAGACTTCTTGCTCTGTGGCTCTCAATTGCTGATCTTGTCTCATTTTCAAATCATGCTATAGCTGTATATAATGATTTATGTGCCAATGAGTTCTTTCTTTTCCAGAATTGTGATAGCCTGATTTTGTAAGAGTGATGTGTCTTGTAGTCCAGAAGTCATAAAATCCTTTCAATAAGTAATATATATTTTTTTCACATTTACAATTATACTTTCTTCAATAGTTAAAATTGAATGTGTTGATTTATGAGGTCAATGATATATGTTTAATGAACTGTACTTATTAGACCATGTTGCCTGTTGCTTTTTTCTCTGGTATCAAAAAAAAAAAATGGACTCTTCTAAAGGTGACTTATGATTTTTGGGGTATATTGAACTAAAGGCTCTGGAGAATTGGATAGTATGGAATTGTTTTACTAAATCATATTATTGACTACAAAATTTGGGAGTTTCCAGCAGCTCATTCCTAGTTAATGAACGTGATATTGACTACTATCAAACTTTAGTTGTGGGGTTCATATGCAGTTCATTTTCATGCACAAGACTAGCTAGATCTGTGATTTTGAGCCTCTGTGATGATTCTTTTTTCTTTGATGTAAATGGGGAAAATGAGCCATATTGAACACCAATACCATATATGAATACTGGAAGGAATTTGAGCTTGATGGAAATGCAAGATTTGAAGGATGGACAGTGTGATGATTGGTTAATCGTGTAGGTGTGAGGGAAGCTGGCTGCCCCAAGTGACT